AAAAAAAAAAAGGTTTGTTGTTCCTTATAATCTATTTTGTTCCAAGGACTGTATCTTATGTGGCCTGTACTCACTAATGCCTAAGGTTTAATGCTACATCCCTTTAATGAGAAAAAACAGTTATTTGGTGCAACATAGGCCATTGCAAACTATCAAGGTTAATAAATCCACATGGCAATGCTTACCAAAGCCTAAAGCATAAGCCATATGTCTTGGCTAGTTCACTGACTTCTGTATTGACGCTATGTAGTCCCCAACATTCCTTCTGAAGAAAAAGCTTTGGTTAGGTTTAATCAGTTTAACTAAAATGTGTTGAAAGCATACAAGATCCTGTATTAGGAAATAAAATATACCTTAATATGTGACACTTGTGTTACAATATGAGGGTTAAAGTTGCTGGGTGGTGGATTTTGGCACTGAAATTTCTTCCACGTGCTATCAAGTCTTTACTTTTGGTACAGATAATATGTAAATAAGGGTACCTCCTCAATAATACATTTTTTTGTGGGGACCAAGTCCTGACCTTGAAACATATTTGCTGGAAGTGGGTCCTTTATAATATGGGTCATAATGTTGTATCTGTGATCTCAGTTTTTTTACCTTGTGTTTTTTGAGATGTCTTAGTTTTCTGTGGAAGTTTTTTGCAGGGACTTTCAAGATAAGAATGGAGGGGGCAGGTTTTGGACATGGCCAGTTGTCCAATGCTTCAGGTCCCTCACATCCACTGAATTTAAAAATACTTCTCCTGAAGCTCAAGTAGAATAATATTGAATGCGCGCATGCGTGCGCGCGCGCACACACACACACACACACACACACACATACACACACACGTACATGCATACATACATACATACATATACATTCCATTTATGATATCACCTTTCCCACCTATTAGACTTCTTGTAAGGAGTAAATAAAATCCAGAAATAAAAAGGCTAAAGGAGCTTTAAAACATATATGAATGAGAGTTAAGATTTGGGACCTTGTTGTTATTCTTGTTCACTGGTGTATCATTCAGTCATTTGGTTAGGCATTAATTTACAAATATAATTGAGCATTAACTATGTGCCATGTATTTGTGGGGTTAAAATAAGTAAACAAAAGATGATCCAGTGTATTAGTTAGCTAGGACTGTTCTAATCAAGTACCACAAACTGAGTGACTTAACAGAAATTTTTTGTTTCACAGTTCTGTAGACTAGAAGTCCAAGATCACAAGATTGGCATGGGTAGTTCCTTTTGAGAGCTATGAGGGACACGCTGTCCCATGCCTCTCTCTTAGCTTTGGGTAATTTGCTGCCAACCTTTGGTGTTCTTTGGCTTGTGGCATGATCACCCCAATCTCTACCCAGTGTTCACATAGTATTTTCCCTGTCTGAGAGTCTGTGTTCAAATTTCTCCTTTGCAGAAGGACACCAGTCATAATGAATTAAAGGCTCACCCTACTCTAGTATGTCTTCAGCTTAATTAATTACATCTGTAGTGATCCTATTTCCACATAAGGTCAAATTCTGAGGTTACTTGGGGTTAGGACTTGAACACATGAATTTTGAGGGGACATGATTCAATTCATAACACCCACATATTATCTACCTAATTTTAAAAGTTACGAATAAAATTAACAAGTTGTTAAATACAATACATTTTATGCTCCTATTGTGACAGATATACCTTAACGAACACCAGAAGGACAGGTTTTAATTTAGAATTCTTGGAAATCCATGTTGAACTATGGTAGCTTGAGAAGGGCTAGTCCTGTCCAGCAACCCTCTGTACGTCCTGCTTTTCTTTCTGCCCCAGGCTCCCTCCTGCACTGTGAGTGGCCTTATGCACATTTGTGAACACTCCAGCTGGCACATTCAAGCTGCATCCCTATACTCTTCAAGTGGCCTCCCCTTGGTCACCACTAGCACCTAAGCATTATTCACAACTGGTGGTGCAATTTGACTTCAGATGAATGGACCATTAGAAGAGGCCTGCAAGGCTGTTGAAACAGGGAATTCTGGGGTCCTGTGTACCTAGAATGTGGTCTAGAATGAGGGTTCTGGGTGTGGCTAAGATTCACAACTGGAGGAGGCAGGATTCTCTTGGTAAGGGTGCGAGGACAAAGACCTTTCACGGCTCTAAGACTGTACTGTCAGTGAACAAAACTTCTCTATAGTCTGGTGTTGGTTCTCTAGAGAAAAAGAGACAAAGCTTACATAATAAGCAAATAAATAAGTAGATTGTATAGAATGTTCAAACTTGGTAAGTGCATAAGAAAAAAATGGTAGAACAGAGAGGGAAGGATCTGGTGTGTATCTGGGGACAGGGCAGGTTACAGTACTATATAGAGTGGTCAGGATAAGCCTGATAGAGATGGACACATTTGATCAAAGCGAAAGAGGTGAGTGAGGCAGGTGGTTATATGGGACAAAAGCACATTCTTTTTTGAAAGAAGAGGCCATCTGATAAAGATTCCAGGAGTGAAGCATGCCTAGAGTGCTCAGAGAACAGAAAGGAGACCTGTGTTGCTTGAGTGTTATATTGGAAAATATAATCAGAAAGACACCTGATGGGAGGCCAGATCACATAGGACTTTTTAGGTTCTTTTTAAAGATTTGGGCTTTTACTCTGAGATTCAATGCTCCTGCAGAGTTGTGAGCAGAAGAATGACATAATCATTCCAGTTGCTGTGTTGAGAATAGACTAGGAGGGGGGCAGGGTAAACACAGAAATAAGGAGACTGTTTAGAAGAAGGCATCGTGGTAATCCAGGACAAAGATGGTAGTAGTTCCTTGTACCAGAGAGGTAGCTACGGGGAGTGATAAGTGGTTGGATTTAGGATATGTTTTGAAGGTGGAGCCAACAAGGGTTGCTGATGGATAAAATTATACTGAAGGGAGGGGATCAAGGATGACTTCCAAGTTTTCTGCTGTCTAAAACAGGTTTTGAGGAAAAGATCAAGTGTTTAGTTTTGGACATGCTGAGTTTGAGATATTAGGTATCTAAGGAGGATATTTGGTAGGCAGTTGGGAATGGAACTCTAACATTTGGGAGGAATTCTGAGCTGAATTTAATAAAGCTGGAACTCATTAGCATGGAAATACTTAAAGCTATGTGAATATACAAGATCATTAGGAGTGAAGATTGATGAAGAAGAGGACAAGGAGTGAGCCCTGGGACACTCCAACATTGGGGGCCATGGAGAAGAGGATGCTTCTGCAAAGAAGACTGAGAAAGAGGGGCCAATGTTATAGAAGGAAAGCACAGTGGGTGTGGTGTCCTGGAAGCCAGGTGAAGAGCATGTACTGAGGAAGACAGAGTTACTGACTGTGCCAAATACTGCTGATAACTAAGTCAGATTAGGGCTGAACATTGACCTGGGGATTTAGCTACCTGGATGTCAATAGGGACCCTGACAAAAATAGTTTCATTGAAGTGCTGGGGACAAACACATGCTTGGAATGGGTTTAAGAGAAAATATGAGAAAAACTAGAAACAGAGAGGAGAGACAACTCTTTGGAAGAGTTTCACTGCAAAGAGGAGCAGGGAAATGTGTCAGTATTTGGAAGGCAGCTATGCTCACCACTATACCACCAATGCCATTAATGTGTCAGTATTTGGAAGGGGAAGACGGGTGGTGAGAATTTTCAAATAATGGTTGTAAGATCCTGTAACCATGTAACATCATGGTTATATGCTGAATGATCCAGTAGAGAACAAAGAAATGATGCTTTTCAGTAGAAGAGAATTCCAGTAATGTTTGTGAGTAAGTGAGAGGGACTGGGATTCAATGTAATGAGAGATTGGTTTGGGGTAGGAGCATGGGTAATTTTCCTATGGTAGTATGTAGGAAGATGGAGCATAGAATCTAGGTGGGTAGATGCAGTAGTGGAATCTGGAGGTTTTCTTTGGACTGATTGTAATTTCTAGTAAAGTAGAAAACAAAATCATCAGCTGAGAGTGCAGATTAGGGGGAGGTGCTGGGTTTCAGCAGAGAGAAGGGTGTGTAATCATGGACTCACAGGAAGGGAGAGTGAATAGACTAGAAACATAGAATTATTGCCCAGCAGCATTAATGACTTACTTGATTTGCATGAGTATACATTTCAAGTGGGACCACATCAGCCCATACCAGGCATTCAAATATTTTCGATTAATAAGTGTACAGACTTTGACATGTTTATATGGTTGTATAGATGACTGTATAGAAGAACTTAAATTACTATTTTTTAAAATTCAAACACACTAAAACATTGAATAAAGCAAGGATTTAAAATATTTTTTAGTAACTTAAAGTCAGGAATTAAAAAAAATCCTATTTATCTTAAAGAATGTGGCATAGTGCCTTGAATTGTACCTGCTTTGCAGGTAGAAATCTGTAGGATTGATGAGTATAAAGGTAGGTTCAGAAGTAAGGAAAATACTTGATGTTCTAAGAGAGGAGGTTTGATCAGTGGTGTGAGTTTCAGAGTTTGAGATCTTGGAGTTAGGAGACAATGAAGTTTAAAATGTGATCATTCCTCTGGATGGGTGAAATCCAGTGATGATGAATTCTTTGGTGTGGAAGAGGGTAAAAAACTGCAAACAAGTGTCTTCCGGTAATTAAATTTAAGAATTTGAGGCATTTATGTTTTGTTTTTCTGATAGAAAATAATATAGCATTCTGCTGGAGTTTACCAAACCTCTCAATATATAGGATTATAAGTGGTTATGCAGATACATACATATATATATATATATATATATATATATATATATATTCACATTTAAAAAAATGTGTTGCAGATATACTTAGGTCTTGAATTAATTGATAAGATTTATTTATTTGCCTGTGTTTCTTAAAAAATACATTAAAGCTATTGCTTTTAATTGGAGGAACACAATTAAAACAAAATGTGAACATATATTTTATTTAAAAGATGTATTTAAATTAAATATTCTTTTATTATTTTTACATGTATTTTATACAATCGATCAGCATTTTAATTGAGGAGAAAGGATTCTAAGAAAACAGTGAAACACAGGTAGAGAATAAATAACTATAAAAGAGTGATTCTGTTTCCTTTTCATTGTGTCCTTAGTAAATTACACTATCTTTGACAACAAAAATGCCCTGCTCATGTGATAGAGAGGCCCAGAAGTGGAAAAAAATACAAGTAGTTAATGAATAATGCATATGTTCATTGTAATGGTCAAATTATACTGTTTCCCAGTGGGTACCATTTTTCTTCATTGAGTGGGACACTACAAAGTTGGATGTTAATTGCTCCCACAAATGTGGTTTTGCTCTTCACAATTAGCATTAAGACGTGTCCTTGGAGTTCTGTAACTTCATCATATACCACCTGAAAAGGGAGAGAAATAATAAAAATAGAAATCAGACCTGCTAAATGAATCTTTTTAAAAATATCGCTTTTAATAAAAACATTTAGCTGCTAATACCTTATACCTTGAAATGGATAGGCTAATGTTAGAATCTTTCATTTCTAACTAATTCTGAAAAGCTACCTAAAGGTTCTGCGAACATAATGAATTTTAGTAATAGAATATTTTTCTAAGGAGCTTAAAATTTACTCTAATTTCATTAATAATTGTCCATTCCAAATTTAATAAGACTAAATTATTCTCTGGGAAGAAATTTAAATACATTTCACCTTTTAAGTGTCCTTGAATTGACTGTCCTTGAATTAACATGGGAACTTGAACACTATCTTTCTTTGTTGAAGGCTTATGATGACAGCAGACCAATTTCCATGATTTCCTTGTGTTATTTTAATGTAGTACACCAACATTTCTTTTGATGTGTGAAGAAGTCAATCTGTGGTTCCTTTATTTAAAATTGCTTAATTTTTATTATGAAACTATGTGCTAATTAAATAAAATATGGATGAAACAAAGAACATAAAAAGGAAATAGCTATATTTCTACCATTGGGAGATAATTACAGTTAACATTTTGATAATCTTTATGTTTTCTATATATAATCACTTTTTAAGAATCCGAGCTTTAATTATGCTGTATGTATAGTTTTGTGTCTTGCTCTTTTCTACTTACTAGTCATATAACTATTTTTTAAAAAGGGATATGTTTAACTGTATTTTATAATATCCTGGAAGTCACAGGCGTTACCACTGGGTGGGTGCCTGTGGTGGTAAGGAAACTTTAAAGTGTAGTACTATCTAGAAATTAGTAATCCATCATGAAAAGGGGAGAATTTTGTGTAAATCCAGCATGGTTGCCAGGGAAACTCCTTAGAACACATTCAGAGTTTCATATGCTGCTTCAAACTTGCTTGCTTTTTATAAACAAGCTGCAAGATAGAAAGAAGTGTTCTCTACATATGCAAAAAAGCAGCAGAGGCAACAATTGAGGAGGGAGCTCATTAAGTCAACTGAAAAGCCTCCTCAGTGAATCTGGATGTAGTTTCTTGTCTGTCACACTGGGATTCGCCTACCATTTATGAACCCATGAAATTCCCTTCAAGATCTGTTAGCTGCTCTGAACAATGATTCACTTAAAAAGTAAGTAATAATTCAGTCAAGGATGTGCGGTCCAATATATTATAATATGTTAACCCAGTCTACCCTGCGTCATGTGGCAGCTCCTGGCTACCTCCTGTTCTAGGATTTTACTCACATTCCAGAAAGGAGATTATCTTTCCCTAGGACTGCTTATTCAAATAATTCCATATCATCTATTGAGCTCCTCTGGGATAATAAAAGATTTTAAGGGCTGCCTTAAAAATCTCAAAACCCTACCACTGTAATTCAACTTCTTTAACTGCAAAGCGATGCCATAGTGGTCTCTGGGAACCACTCTCTCTGGGACTCTTATCTTTCCAGGACTTCAGAATAAACTCCTTTTCCTTTTCTCTGTAGTAGCTATTTTGAACTGTCTAAACTGTTCTCTATTTTCCTCCCACAACACTTTCAGCAGATGAACCCATCTGGTATTTTATAGATAAGTTGATAAAAGGGCCCTCAAAGTGTTACTGTATGTGAAGTAGGAAAATGGAATAACTCTATGCATTAGGCCTTTGGAAAAGTGTGGCTTAAGAACTCTGTGAATCCTATAAATAAATCCTAAAGATGTAACTTGAAAAGAAACATGTGTATAATACATATTTATATTAATCTGTTGTCAATTACATGTATTCTCATTTGCATAATGGATAATAATATTTACCTTTTAACATTGTGGGGAAGAATAAATGAGATAATGAGTACAAGCCTTACTACAAAGTCTGGTACATATTAAACACTAAAAAATTGTAGCTGACAAAGATCCACCAAATACAGAAAAAAGAACAGTTGTTTTTTGGTATTTTATATTAGTTGACTGGAGAAAACACTTCAAGACAGACTTGAGTCTCCCAAGTACTGAGGAAGCTGAAATTCTCAAGAAATGCTCTTAGGAATTAATTGCCTTCCTGGTTAAAATACAAACATTTCAACTCAAAAGTTTATATTACTTTATGGAATATTTTCATTGTGCTTCATTATGCAAAAGTAATTTTCTTAAAAGTGACTGAAGTTTTATGGGCATTGCACATCATAGATGCATAATTTCTTAACTGCATCCACAAATTGTTAAAAAATAAACATTGTTTTCTCACTGTGCAATGAATAATTAGAGGGTAATGCTAGAGAAGTACACAAATGATTATGTTCTTTGAGAATTTTTCGCCAAATGATTTAATATATATTCTGCTTTCACATAAACAGACCAAAAATGTACAGCTATTTTGATTTCACTTTATAATACATTTTACCCACTGGCATGAACTAAGTCTTCATTGCCTCCTGACAAATATTGGCTATGTAGGTTTAAAATTATTACATCAAGTAGACAAACCTTGTTTAAAGTAAATATCTATTAACTTATATATAAGCACTCACTGTGTGGTGTTTGACACCAGGGTCTAGTAAATCATTCTAAAGTGTATTTTAATGATTGCAATGGAAAAAGAATAATAAGGAAACCAAAGTATGTCTGGTGCTGGTGGGAAGAGGAGTGAAGGAGACAGGATGATGAAAGGGTGAGTTAAAAAACAATTGAGAACAGAACTCAATGGGTGGAGAGAAGGAGGGATAACACAGCATAGTTTAGTGGGGTCAATATGGGCCTTGGAATCATGCAATTTTGGACCTTAAGTCTAGCTATGTGGCCCTGGTCATAATGTTTGACCTCAAGGCATCAATGTCTTTATTTACAAGTTGAACTTTCATTGTGTTCTGCATATCAAATGAGAGGACCATATAGATAACAATAGCTATTGCTTACTGAGTGTGCCATGTACTTAGCATTATGCTGAATAGTCATACACCTTCTAGGAGATATTTTAAGGTACGTAAAACACACAGAATGATTGTGTTCTGCCCTTCCTAATGTCCCCCTTATGCTTTATAATAGGATAATATCTAAGGAAGGAATACATGTAAAAAAAATACATTGACTATAATAAAATAATTCTGTTATAAGATAGAATCTATTGAGTCATTTAAAAAAAAATGATGGACTTTAACCAGGTGCCAAAGGTAATAGAATGGAAAGAGCATTGGCTTCGGAGCCAGAATCCCAGTTCTGCTTCTTAATGGCTGCGGTGCAGTTCTGAGCATCTCTACCGGCAGCCCTGCCCCACCTTGAGCAGAGTCATGGCTACCACTGGGATTTGTATATGATGGGGTTTTTCTGGGAGACTGCTGGCAAAGCCTGTTGAGACTCACTCTGGGAAGTGTCAAGTAGACAAGCTTGGCTCTGTATGAAAGCGTTAGTATCTGAAGGGTGGATACTAAAGGGACACTTGGCTATGTCCCTGACCCAGCCTCTCTCAGGTCTAGGTGTCAGGGAGGAAGGGCTGTGAAAAGAAACAGGAAGAACTATTTTCATGAAGATCTTTGTGAGACATTGGTGATGCAATGCAATAACCCCTTTGCATCCCTCTAAGAGATTTATATAAAAAGGAGAGCAAGGCCATTCTCCCCCACTTCCCAGAACAATGCTTGACTTTGGCAGCTTGAGAAATGCCAGCCATGGTGAGTGCCTGAGTAGTAGTAGTTGGGAAGCAAAGCAGGGGGGAAGTTAGAAACAAGTTAGCTGCCATGTGATAATTTACTGAGCTCCCTAGAAAATACATTAAAAGTGTCACTGAGGATGCCCAGAAATAATTGAGGGGGTTGGCACAGAGATGAGGGCTTACATCACAGCTGAAGTCAAGAGAAAGTAAAACCAGAGTTAAAACTGGTATAGAATACTTTCTTTTTGCATTTCTTAAAAAAAATATTTTTGTTTTATTGATGCAGACAGTTTATCAGGTGAAAAAAAATTTAGAACATAGCCCTTTTTTTTCTTCATGGCTTTCTAAATTTAACCAGTTTCTTTGCCAAATTTGCTTATATTATGATGATTATTATTAGAAGAGTTAATTATCCACACGTTAATTCACATTTCTGCACATTTGGATTCTGTATAAATTGGAGTTTGCTGTGCGTGGACTATGGTCATTGAAACAATTTTACATATGTTCCAAGTATAAGTGGTATGTGTTCATGCTATAAGTATAGACTGATGGAAAAATTACTGCAGGAATTTTTAGTCAGTGTGTCATGAATGTATGAGGGCCCCAAATAATTGCAAGCCATCAGAAAATTTATGGACATAACAAGCATATAAATCTCCATGCATGTGTATGTACTACTGTTTATAATAACACATGGAGCTTGAAATATAAAACACAAGTTTTTAAAAACTCTCATGAACTGTTAGTGACTTTTTGTCATTATGTGCTTCTTTAGATTATAAATGCTGAAGTGCATCATTAAGTCTGAGAACTTTCATTGAAGCCGGAGTCTTGTACTCAAAAAGTACAGAAACTAGTGATGTTGTTGGGAGGTGTGTATCTCTCTAGCTGTTGACATCGTGACAAATAAAATATCAAAATATCTTCCCTTACTAAATTAGAGAAGTCTCAACCTCTATCTCTCCCCCTCTCTCTCTCTCCCCCTCTCTCCCTCCATATATATATATATATATATATATATATATATATATATATATATATATATATATATATTCATTTGTTATCTGTATATATTGAGTATTACAATTTTAACACAGTTTTCCTTTCTTAAAATATGTATACATTTTTTGGCACCCTTGGTGTATTATATATAATATATATATTACACTTATCCCCCCCAATTTTTTTTTAAAGTGCATGAGGATGATATGGCTCTAAGAGACAACTTAGGAAAATTACTGAGTCGAGTGTTAAGGGCTATGGACATCATGTTTAGGATTTTTGACATTATACAGTAGGAAGTGAAGAAACTTTGAAAAAATTTAAACAGGAAATTAATAAATATGACTAGTTTTTGAAAGACATTATACGTAGAAATATGAAAGATTTAAACAAAAAACACAAGCCAGGAGGCAGATAGGAGGCTATGATAGTAACCAAAGTCACAAGAACCTCAAACAAAGAAATGGCGATGGACCGGAAAGAAAATAACAGATTTAAGAGGCAGGCAGCTGCACAAGGAGAACTGACGAAATGTGGCGATTAGTTGGACAGGTGAGTGAGACAGGCAGATGTCATTAGAAGTTATCTTTTTAGGTGGCAAACAGGGGAGGAAAGCCTGGTTTAAAAGTGGTTAGGAGACATTCAAATGGAGCTCTTCAGTAATCAGGCAGAAGTGTAGGTCAAAAGGTTAGGACAAAAGCCAGGGCGTGAGGAATAGATTCAGATGCAACCTAAATAAAAATCTGTGGATACACCAGATAATTTGAGAGAATATCGAGAAGAGATACAGGTAGATAAATAATGGAACTCCAGCAACACTATTTTAAGAGGAAGGATGGCAATGCAGGAAAATAAGGGAGGGGTAAGAGAAGATGGAAGGGGATTAAGAAAAGGAAGCACTCAAGAAGCATGTGAGGAGGTGCCAAGAGAGAGGCATATTCAGCCATGTTGTTGTGTAACTTCAGGAGAGGAGAGCCTGAGGGCTCACTGGATTGAACAATTAGGAGTCTTTATTCAGTGTCTAATAAAGCAGCATCAATTAAAGTCAGAATCCACACTGCAAAGGATTAAAGGGTGAAAAGGGAGTGCAAAAAATGTGAGTTAATTTTGTAAAAGTTTGGAGATGACAGGGAGGGAAAGAAAAATTGGATGCTTTAGAAACCTTGAGTTGAGGAGTTTGTTTTGATTTGTTTTTTAAAGATTTCTGAATCAAGGATCCAATGGATGAGACAGCCTTAAGAAGAGCAAATAATCAGCTGAGCAAGGTACAGAGAGATGTGAGAGGATGGAATCAAGAGAATAAATGTAGGGCTTGCCTCGGAAGTAGGGGATTGGATGTTCAAATCTTATAAAACAAATGAGACAGAGAGCTATATCAATGTAAATTAATGGTAATTTAATTTGTATTTTGTACTTGTTTATTTAGATTTTTCAAATGTGACTTTATGAAACGTATTTTTATATACAGATTAAACTATAATAAGCTTATTAGGTAAGTAAAACCTAAAGGAAAGTAAGGGTAGAGAAAATCAGAAGTCAGGGATAATAATAATATATAAAATAAATGCCACATAGTCTTAGACTCTTACTGGAGGCTAGCCACAATTTGAAAATTGGTTCATAAGCACTTCGAAAGCAGTATATTTTCCAGTTCCCACAGCATCTAGAACAGTGATCAGCACATGGTGCTTATTTTGGGAAATGTCTTTCCTTTAAGGAATAATGCTGCCAATTACTGCAAAGTTTCCATATTTGGTTGTTAAGCTGAAAAATGGTAAGAAAAATAACAAAATGACTGAAAAAGGGATGAATCATACTTACAATTTCATTGTAAGTGGGGTCAGTACATTTTGGAACAGGTTTTGTTTTCCTCCTACGGACTTCACTGGGATATGGTAAAAGATAAAATTCAACATGTGCACTGGGCGCAGAGCCATCTGGGAGATGCTGCAAAGGAAAACGGTCATAAATATTAATGTGTGTCGCTATCAAAGAAAACAAGTACGTAGCTACTAAATATCTAGACCACAGGCAGGATCAAGATGTACTACCGTCATTCTGTTTATCAGAAAATACGAGAACAATCAAAAGGAATACATCACTGTTCAGAAATAATTCCAGAGTACAGCTGAAAAGAGTAAAATTGTCCATCTTAAATTAAGTGTTGTGTCAAAGAACTCATTTAAAAGCCCATTAAATATAATTTATTTTTTTACAGTAAATCTAAATTTGCATTTTTGACAGAAATGGTTGAGAGATGAATATAAGCCACAGGCAGAGACAGTAATTAAGTACCTCGGGATACAGTATACCCCTTGAACATAAAAAAATTCAAGCTTAACACGTAAAATGAGATGTAGCATTTCATGGTATGTATATTAGCTAATATCACATTTTAAAGCAGAATTTAATTCAAACATCTATTAGACCTACAACTTCAGATTTTAAAATGGTTATAATTTTATTATCTAAAATTTCCTAAAATATATTAAATAACCCCTTTTAAATTGTGTTCCGTTGAGCCCCATCAGTTTCCTAAGTTGCAGCCTGAGTAAGGATGCTGGCTGGTGCATCTCTGGATCCCTTCTTCCCATGATTCCTAACCACTGCCCGCTCACCCCCACCTCCACCATTCTGGCTCCAGAACTTCCCGCTTTCTTCTTTTCCATCTTTCCTTATTATGGATATTTTTATTTCTTAGTGTATCATTTGAAGAAGGAGCCTACTGTTTCAGAAATTTGGAAACTGCCATGTTTCAAAGAAATGGGTTCTATCTTTGCAGTCTTGACCAGATGGAAAGTGAATGGTATTAAAATTCTGAATATCTGGTTTAATAAAATATGAAATGTTTATGTAATTTAAAGAGGATGATTTAAACATCAAACTTGAGGAATTAAGTACTTGTTTTGATACATTCCATGAAATCGGGAATTTTCAACAAACATATTTTAATGCTGTGAATCACTGACATTCACATGTGGACATCCAGGACCACCCCAACGTCATTAGCTTTATTTTTACATCTTTCTTTGGCACTCAAAAAAGCATATTGGAAATAAGAGTGATATATATTATTATAGGACTAACTTTTATTCATTTTTTTTTAAAGATTTTTATTGGGGAATTGGGGAATGGGAACAGCGCTGGGGAATTGGGGGAAGGGGAACAGACAAGTTGCTGTCCTTTTGTTCTTCAGTCTAGTTGTGGAGGATGTTGCTTCACTGGCCCAAGTTGGCACCATCATTGTGCTCTTCCCAGGCGAGGCAGATCAGTCGCTTGCTTCTGGATGGCTGCTCACGGCGGCTGCTGGCCGCTCACGCTGGCTGCTGGCTATACACGGTAGCCCATGGCAACCCACTGCCATAGGGGCTAAAGCCTACACCATCGCCGGCGACTCACGGCAGCCCAGCTCCAGGTTGAGCTGTTGTTCAGCATCTTAGCTGTAGAGGGCAGTGTCACTGGCCCTCATATGTGGGATCCGAACTGGGGCCCTCTGGTGTCCCAAGCCAGCTCTTAACCAATGCGCCACTCGGCTGACCCTCTTTTCTTTCTTCCTTTCTTTTTTAAATTATTAGTTTCAGGTGTACAGAACAACGCACTAGTTATCCTTTTCACCCTTCACGCAGAAATAACACCCTTCCCCCATCTACTGCCCTCCCACCCCTGATATCATACTTATCTATTGCAATTTCATTGACTCCATTCCCACACTCTACTCCACGTCCCATGACTATATGTATATATAATTATAGTTTACATACAATATTATTCAACTTCAGCTTCAGAAATACAGTGCGGTGGTCAGGCCTCTACACCGACTATGAAGTGGTCTCCCTAACAAGACATGAGTCCATCTGGCCCCCTAAAAAATATTTACAACATTATTGATTATATTCCACAGACTGTCTTTTCTATCCCTGAGGCCATATTGTAGTTACCAATTTGTATCGTCCCTTCCCCTTCTCCTTCATCCCCATCACCTCCCAACTAGCAACCCTCAGTTTTTCCTGTGTGTCTCTGAGACTATTTCTGTTTACATTTCTCATTTATTCAGTTCTTTAGATTCCACATATAAGTGAGATCATATGGTATTTGTCTTTCTCTGACTGACTTATTTCACTTAGCATAATGTTCTCTAGTTCCATCCATATCATTGCAAATGGTACGATTTCCTTCTTTTTTATAGCTGAGTAATACTCCATTGTGTAAATGTACCATAGTTTCTTAATCCAGTCGTCTACCTATGGGCATTTTGGTTGTTTCCAAGTCATAACTATTGTGAATAATGCCGCAATGAACATAGGGGTGCATTTATTTTTTCGAATTAATGTCTTGGGTTTTTCTGGATAAATACCTAAGAGTGGAATTGCTGGGTCATAAGGTAGTTTCATTTCCAGTTTCTTGAGATTTTATTCATTTCTAATTCACATGGTAAAAATTACATCTTCAGGAAAATTTGGCTTTTTTTATTATTCACAAATTATATAAAACATATCTGGACACATCCATATGTCAAAATGCTAAGATGGCCAAAGCTACTGCTTTAGATAGAGCTCAAGGTATTCGTTCCCCCCTTGAAAGCTTCCCCCAGGAGGAGGAATTTTAAACGTGTCAGGGGCATAATGAGCTCTGCAGTGGCACAGAAAGAAGCTGCTATTAATATTTGAGAGAGTGAATATTTTCTTTTTGGTGAGAAGAATGGAGTGTTTTTGCCCTGTGTAATTGTCTCTTACCTGCCAATGGGTTTCATCTCACCATACCTTTAGTCACTGTGTGCTTCAGCTTAGAGGTTAGAATCATGGTTCTGGAAATGGACTTATTGATTGCAATCTGGGCCCCCAAATTAGCCAGCTATGTGGCTCTTGGCAAGCATCTTAACTTTTCAGTGGATCGGTTTCCTAACCTGTTATGTGAGGATACTATCTCATAGTATTTAAAAGATTAAATAAAATAAACCATGTAATGTGAGACCAGTGCCTGAAATAGAGTAAAACACAGTGAATGTTTGATACTATTTTTATTGTCTATAAATTAAACATGAATATGCTATATGTACTGATTGGACAAGATATCCGTAATTAACTGTGACATTTATAAGCAAGGCTTTTCTACCTTGGCACTACTGACATTTGGGGCCAAATAATTCTTTTAATTCTCTCTTGTAGGGGCTGTTCTGTTACTGGTATAGTAGGTAGGTAGAGTTTCAGGATGTTTTAAGAGTATCCTGGAAGTCTACCTACTAGAATCCAGTAGCACCATCATCCCAGCTGTGACAACCAAAAATGTTTCCAGGTGTTGCTAAATGTCATTTGGGGGAAAGAGTGACCCGAAGTGAGAACCACTGATGTAGATGACTCCCAACAAACAATCTCTAGTTCATTCTTAGGACCCCAGCCCAGTGACCCGTGAATATCCCCACCTGGATATGTTATTGGCACCCTTATATATACTCTAACCATAATCTATCTTCTATTCTCCCTCATCACTTCAAAACAGATTTTTCACCACTCGTTAAAATTCTATTAAATGGTACCATTTCTCTTTCCTGGTTCCGCCCTTGTCCTTGATTTTGAAATCCAAGTATGTACCAAGTTCAGCATCCTACCTTTTTGCTCCAGCTCATCTGCCACCACAGATCTTTATTTCCTAACTTATAACTGGATTTCAATTACTTTTGATGCCCCCGTCTTCCCACCTCTTTCTTTAATTCATCCTGTAAATCACTCTTTTATTTAACCTTCCTATGAAGTTGCTTTGATCATGTCACTTTCCTTCTCAAAACATTCAAGCATTTCCCACTGCCTGAAGAATAAACTTCCAATTACAGAAGGTGAAAACTCTTTTGTATACCACACTTCACAATCATTTAGTAACTCAGGACTTGGGCTTCTATCTCCAACTTAGCATCACAAGTTCTTTCAATGTCCTGGAGTTTTTAGGATAATAAAACAGTACAGGTTTCAGTTTACGTCAGGAACGCATTCGATTGGAGCAGTGGGCTTAGTCTGTCCTTAGCAGCTTTCAATGCAGGCATTGATTTCTCAAGTCTTTAAGAGAATTGTTTTCCAAAGCAGCTGTCTCATTAACATTATTTTTTTCCTCTTCTTACTGCACCATAGCCTGCTCCTAAACATCTCAGCTAATTTACTAAAGAAATCACTAGCTGTCCACTCATCAATATCTCTCATTTCACCCTTTGCCCTTATGTTTATGGGAAATAAATTTTACTTGAGAATGATTAAATAACCCCTATTTGTCTCAATGGCTCACCATAGGATTTTTTACTCTGGCTTCTTTCAGACCTTCACAAAGACTTAACCCTTTGGCCTGAGGAGTCATAAGGCTTGGGGATGATACAGCGTTCTTAGTCTGACCCTCAATCTGAACAATGAGAAGTGTCTTGTGTCACTTGAGGACTTTCTTATTCTTTGTGCACTGAAGTCAAGCAGCACCACTACTTTCCTTCGAACTCTGGCTAATAGTTTTACTGTGCTCAGAAGGTAATGTGAAGTCCTGTAAACTATTTTTGTTGCTCATATTAACTCTGAGTTCTCTATTTTCTAGATTTTCTGGTAAAATATTGATCATTTTCTATGTTTCAAAAATAGTTTTACATGTATATTATCTTCCCTATGAGATCAGAAATTATTTAAAAGGAATATCCATGTCTTTTTGTGCCACACCTGCCTCTCCTCACATTTTCTGGGAGCTTTGCTCCATTGGTTACCCGCTACTCCATTACCCTAATCCCACCCTCAGTTCTTTCTTCCTAAGCTTTCAACATGTGTCTAAATCTCTAATTAAAATTTTAAAATCCTCACTTGAAATTGGGCTTTCATTTACCTTATTATTTTCTTTCCTTTTATGACCATGCTTTCCTTTTATGGCATTCCTTTTTTCCCCCATGGAAACCTGTCCCTAACAAAGTACTTGGTATATAGTAGACA